ACGATATGTCAATGAATCGATAAATGATGAATGTTAGATTGGGTGTGGGTGCGAAGAAAAGATCCACACCCACACGCACATTCTGAACGATATGTAGATGTAGTAATTGATCTAAGAGCATACAAATATAGTGTATGTAAAAAAAAGAAAACGAATATTATTGTTTGTTCTCTTATAGTACTTAGATGTGTGAGGAGTAGACCCCGTCGGGTCCAAGATTTTTGGACCCGAACCCGGACCCGTTTACAATTTGCTATATTCGTACCCGGAACCGGACCCGTTTGTTTAAAAAAGGTTGGACTCGGACCCGACCCGGACCCGCTTGTTTAAAAAATGTTGGACCCGGATCCGACCCGGACCCGGTCGCTTAAATTTTTTGGATCTAAGCACGATGATAAATCAGTTTCGATAATATATTCAAAAAGTCTTTTGTTGCTTTTTTGTATATATTCTAAATACACTTAATTTCTTTTCTTCGTGAAACGAACAAAATTTTGAAAAAATTCACAATACATTGTATGCATCAAAGTTTTCTTCAGATCTGGACCCGACCCGAACCCGGTCACAAAAAAGTTTCAGACCCGGAACCCGACCCGGACCCGGCCAAAACGAAATTTTTAGACCCGAACCCGGACCCGTACCCGAGCGGGTCCGGGTCGGGTACGGGTCCGGGTCCTACCCGACGGGCTCTAGTGAGGAGTGGCATCTAGAAGATAACAATACTAGTGGTTATCTCTTTTATCGACTGGTTTATTTTTTGTTTCTCTTTACATTTTCTGTTGTTTGTATAACTCTAACTTTTTTCACATTTTCTTCATCATGAGTAAAAGTTTTCGTTTGTCGTTACGTGAAAAAACTGAAATTGTGAAATGGTACGCCATTCACCAAAATGCAGCTGAAGTTGCTCGTCAATTTCAAAATCGTTTTGATCGTACTCCTCCAACATCAAAGAATATTTTGAGTCTTGTACTGAAGTTTGACGAAACTGGAAGCCTCGAAGATAAATCGCAATCTGGTCGTCCTAGATCCGTTAGCACCGACGAGAATAAAGAACGTGTTCGTACTGCTTTTGAAGAAAGTCCTGCAACTTCAACAAGAAGAGCTTCTTTCGAACTGAATCGATCTAGAAGTAGTCTTCAATGAACGATGAAAGAACTGGGATTGAAGCCATTTCGTCCGCAATTGCTGCATCCTTTAGATGAAGATGATCCTGACAGACGTTGTGAATTTACTGAGATCTTTCTCGACTTGTTAGCTGACGAATCTTCCTTGCTTGATCGAGTTGTTTGGACTGATGAAGCTATTTTCAAGTTGAGTGGTCATGTCAATCGGCACAATTGCGTTTACTACGCTGTAGAAAATCCCCATGTTATCACTACTCAAGAAATGAATACCCCAGGCATCACTGTGTGGGCCGGAATTTGAGTTGGAGGCACCATCGGGCCGTTCTTCTTTTATGACAACGTTACTGCAGACAGCTATCTCGAGATGCTCCAAAAAAATATTGTACCCTCTATTGCAATTGAAATGGATTTAGAAGAGGTAGTCTATATGCACGACGGAGCACCGGCTCATTACGCTCAATCTGTCCGGCACTTTCTGGACAAAACATTTCCTGATAGATGGATTGGTCGACGTGGATGGATCGACTGGCCGCCATGATCTCCAGACCTCACACCAAATGACTTTTTTTTAATGGGCTGTCATCAAGGAGCATGTATACGCGACGAAAACTCAAAGTCTTCAAGCACTAAAAGATGCTATACTCACTGAAATACGAAGTTTACCAGTGAGATTTTGTCAAAGCGCTTGCTACTCAGTATCTGAGAGACTACAACTTTCCAAGGACTTAGGTGGTAAACATATTAAACAATTTCTCTGAAGAACTTCATAATAAGAACACTCCACAAAGGCATACTTTTGCACGTGTTTTTTTCTTAGTTGGAACTTCTAATAAAAGTTCCATTGGAATTCACAAGCATTTTCTTCTTGTTAGTCGTTCTATATTTGAACGCTTTTAGATTATTTACTAGATTTACATGTCGTTCATATGCTCAATCTTTTATTTATCACGCCTAGTATATGTTGTATAAATATCAGGCGTAAGCAACAATCTATAACATACAAATCGAAAAAAAAAATAGTATTTTTCATTACTTTTGTGCCACCCCGTATGTAACAGCTTTCATCATTTTCATAAAATTCGTCCAAAAGCTTTTTCCTTAATTATGATGTGCACAATAACCATATTTAGCAGCATCACGTTTTAGATCGGCATTATGCACAATCAGTGGGCACCGACATCTACTACTATTTCACACCATCAGTTGTTAATACGCATTATGTTATAGAAAAAACACAGAAAAAGCAAAGTGATCGATTATTTGTGAAAACCATTGCCATTACACAACATTTGCAGGAACAAGCTAAATATCATTTTAAAACAAACCAACCTAACCAATTGGCAAAAATAAACAACACCATCACGGAATACAAACACCTCAGTGCACCTACACATCCCACCGATTTCCAACACAGTTGCTAGGACAACATCTACTCGCAACGTTCCCTTCCAAATCCACCACAGACGTAAAGTGAAGTCTCCTTAAGAATGTTCCTACGCCATCTGATATTTGATCAGCTGACCGAGTCGCAACCTTTGCTTCGAAGTGAGCAAAAGAGGTGAACAGAAGTATCTTGAGTAATGTTCGTTTTTCATGTGATGTTCGATCAGCTGACCGAGTCGCAACCTTTGGTTCGAAGTGAGCAAAAGAGGTGAAGGGCAGCCAATCATGCTCCGGGTTTGATTGTGACTTGTCGCCGTTTGTCAGTAAATGTTGAAGTGGTTTTTGTAAAGGATGAGCGTGTTTACAGATTGGAATGGTATGTGGTCTTCTGCCGCTGAGCTGCATGATTATTGAGTATTGTGTTGGTATTTTATTTGGTGCATATATGATAGGCTTCTTTTGAAATGTGTATGGGATTATGGATTTGTTTTGTTTTTGATGTGAATATTTTGTTTCCGGAATCCATTCAAGCCATGGTGCTTGGTAAATTTTGGGATTTGATTGCGAAAGCGAGTTGTGTGTTTTTATTTGTTTGTGTTGGCCGGTTTTGTGATCTGTCTGTAGGAACAGTTTTTTGCATTGTTCTAATCTTTTGGTTGGTATTAGTTTGTTGTGTGTGTATTGATTTATGCAGGGTATAGTGGATATCTGGTTGTTTGAAAGTGTTTACTGCAATTGGTATTTAGAAAGAATTGGACAGTAGAACTTTTTTGATGCGGTTGGGTGATCAGTGCTATTTTGTTTCCGAAAGAAGGGAGACGCCAGTTTTGAGATGGTATGCATTATTTTGCGGCGATCGGGATACAGTATTTGTTTGATCTCTGAGGATTGGTTTAGTATGGTAATGGTGTATCTGCTACTAGAGTTTTTATAACGAAAACAAGCTCCGTGTCGAAGTGGTTTTTATCGATCTGTAGCCACTTTTCTTAATGAAACGAATGTGAAATGTGAGAGAATATGAGATGTTTGTTGCTGTTGTTCATGGATTCTGGTACTTGCACTGAGATCTTCCCTTGTATGGTTCTGGTCATTGAAGTTTGATGTATGTTTGGTTTCATGAGAAGCAATGAATTTGAGACATGAAGAGAGAATGATTGCTGTACTTATTCTATGAACGTGAATAGATGGGTGTAGTGCGAGTATTGATCATAGTTGGCCAGTTATAGCTCACATTTCGATTCTGTAACAACTGTTTCATCGGAGTAGAAGTATAACATCCGAACATATCGGTGGATGATGGTTTCTTATTTCGTTGTCGGAAATTGATTTTAGTGTTACATGAAAACACTAATATGAGCTTTACAAGATACTCCGTGATGAGCAACGTCCTATTGTGCTATGCAGTTCTAGAAACAGAAACTGTAACCTTTCTGTATGTCCTGGAACCAACTTAGGTATTAAACTACGTCAGATTAGTAAGTATCTATTGAATGTGAGCAAAACGATGACCTTTGTTATGAACAACCACAGAATCTGGAACCAACACTGTCGAATAGATGTTTGTTCAGTAACCAAAACATTAGCATATAGATGGTTTCTTCCGCTATTTCATCATCATGATTATGACAATATGAAGTCACCTACATCGTCGCTTATGTTGCTCAACTACAACATGACTTTCAATGCATCGAAAAGAGACAAGCATCAGTATTGGCGCATCCTAGAGACAATAACCTAACACATGTTAAGAATTTCCTCAAAGTAGACGAACTTGTAACTTAAGAATGAATCGGAAGCTTCGAATGCTTGTTTTATACTAAGCTTCCCAGTCTTCATTGGATTCTGACATCAACCGTTAACAGCAAATTATTCAGTTTACATAATGGTCAACAGAAAATCGTCATATTTGAAGCCAAAATCAAACACACGATTTTCCGATCCATCCAAACAATAATTTCAATAACTGAACTAAAATGTACATTTGTCATGTCTACCCTTTCAACCACATTATGTGCTCTCTTTTATTACATATCTCCGTAAGAACAGAACCTACCAAAAACAGTCGAATGGAACGTCATCAATCTCTTTTAAACCAAGCATTAACTAACGAAATCGGAAAGTGCCAGAACAAGTTGCTGTTGACTCAAGCTTATCAAATACGTCTTTTGTCAACTTCTGACCATACAATTCATCTAATGAAAAGCAGGAATTCAAAAGCGGCCGGGGGGGCCCAGCCCCCCCCAACCCCCCCCCCGGGTTTTTTCCCCCCTCCCCCCCCCCAGGCCCCCCCCCCCCCACATACAACCCTCAGCACGTACTTACCCTTACGTGCGGGCTACGCCCGCACTTGTCGACCAATGTTTACATACGTCAAAGTATATACTTTTGGCTCAGTAACAAAGATTTTTAACTCACAGTCAATGTTTTGATCACACAAACACATCACTTATCCACTTTTATTTTATAAAATACAACCAAATCATTTTCACATCCTTACACACGTCGATTGTCCTCACACAAACAATCAGAAAGACCATCATCATAATAATCACCATGACCACCATCAGAATAATAATAAATACATGTTGCTTCATCACGACGCTTAAAACGGTAGTAATATTTACCATTGCCCCAACGTTCTTGATCCTCAGGTCCCCAATTCTTGTAATTCTGGATCCATTTCCAACTTGTTAGATCGCCCGTATAGTACCAATCACGGCATTTGCCGCAATTGGCACAAGGACGACCATTACAATTCAGTTCCCTGTACGTCCCAGGTGTGGCGAATTCTTGGCCTTCTAAATGAAAGTTGTCAACATTCTAAGTAATTTCAACACAAATTTGATAATTTCTTCTCTATCAAGCAAGATTGACAATGATGGCTGAATTATTTATGATGAAAAATCAATGTTTCCATTCTGTCCTACAACCTCATACATGCTAATCTTGAAATCTACCTTCAAGTATTGAATATCTCAGATGTGTTGAATTCAGAAATATAAAAACTCCACTTTTGTTTGCTGATATATGATCTTGTGGTACTCATCACAAGCTACTATGATAGGCATATCTACATGTAGTGCTATTATCGCTGATTCTTATTAACAGTTCAAATAGTTCCACCTCATTTTATACTTTAATCTCGTAGTGATGGGATTGAAAGTAATTGTTTTTGATATTCTATAATTGACACTCAAGATGTATTGATGAGTTTATAAAAAACATTAAAATGTTCATTTCATGCATGGAATTTTCATTTTTTTTAATCTGATGATGTCTCACTAGTTAACTTTTCATTATTTTGATGTTAAATACATCATGTTTTTATTGAAGTTTTGAGTTCTTCGATACACTATAAATGAATTAAAAGAATATAGATTTTGCTAAGATCGGACCTAGATAAAGCTTCAAGCTTCATAAACATCTGCAAAAACTAGTGAGCTTTTCGTTTAACATTCACATTAGAGCTCACTCCCACAAGCTTGTCTCTAATTTAAAAACTTTTTCAGCTGGCCTCGATAAACGAAATATTTGTTAGCTTCGATTCTGTACATACTCGTGTCCTACTATTGAATATTACACTGAGAATTCTCTACAGAAATATGCCGGATAGAATGAAAAAAACGCTTACTTTTTGGTTTGATGGATGATGCTGTAGCAGCACCACTTGGTAGACCTTCGGCTTTCGAAATTGCAACATTTTGTTTAACTGGTGTTGCCATAGTTGTTGCCGATGCTGTCGGAACGGATGTGTCCAATGTTGCTAATGCGAAAGGCGGTTCAAGGAATGGTCGTGGTGCAGATGTTTCGCGCAAATGAATGATGTATAAGTCCTTAGCTGGACTCCATTTACCCACAACACGAAGATAAGTGCCAGGTAGAAGAAGAATTTCGCTTTCTTTTTTATAGTGTGAATGAGCTCGGATAGCTTTGCCATTAATACATTCAATATTGAATAAAGTTCGTACACCTGACTTTCCAACAAATTGCTCCATCACATCCACACTCTCTGTACATGAACTGAACCCCCACCATACTATATCATCATCATATTGATCGCTCAAATTGCCGCAAACTCCCCGCCAGACTGTACTCTTCAATGATGGTAATTTGAATAAAGCAGTGAGAACCAGTTTTAGGTAACGGAACCATGGTTTGAGTGGTTCTCGTCGTTCTGAACGAAGTATGTTATTGAGCTTAGTATATAGACTTACATTCGGCTCTTCCCATTGCATCGTATATAGGTGAATAGCAGCCGATTCATCAGGAGTAAGTCCATCTGCCGGTTTTTTTGAGTTTCGTTTGGCCGTGTCAA